AAAGATAAATAATAAATAAAAATAAATAAATAAAAATGAGAACTGAAACTCCCCGCTTCTCAACATGCTTTCATGTCCTAAGGGTCTGTGTTGCTCAAGTGCTCCCAATTCTAATCCTCAGTTACAAAAGTGACTCATTCTTTCCCCATCCTCTTCCTCACATTTCTTGCCTTCTTTCACCACTCCATCCTGTCCTTACACCACCTGCCTCTGTACTCCTTTTCACTGCTTATCTCTGTATTTTCTGTACCATTTGCCCCTACATCATCTGTGCTGAATTAAAGTGATTGTCACCTTGCTTCCCACTGCCATTGTGGTCTTTCCTGGCAGGTACTCAAAGAACCAGGTTGCCTGCCTATTTCATAATTTTACAAATTAATAGTCAATTCATTCAGTTAATGTTTCCTTTATGAATTTAAATGGTAAGGCATTTGGAACCTATATGTTTATTACTGATATTAATTTGTTATCTATGGTTCCTTTCAACACAATGTAGTTTCCTTTTTTGTCTCTTATTTTTTTGAGGGTTTGTTTTTGCTTTGTTTTCCATCCCCTCAGTTTTATTTTGTGTATGTCTTTGTTTTTTAGGGGTTTGTGTATGTCTTTGATTTTTAGGATTTTGTTTTCTTATTCAATCTGTCAATCTTTTTGATTGTATTGGATTGTTAAATCCATTCACATTTAAAGTTATGATAGGTTTATATTTTCTACCATTTGTCCCTAATATTGCCTTCACCCCCAAAATACGATTTTTCCCTCTTAAACATTTTTTAAAAAGAAAATATAGATCAACTGTATTTTTATACAATGAAAAAAATTTACCCCAATTATACTTTTTTTATAGTTCGCAAAACTCTTTATTTTTTTAGCTTTTTTTAATATAAATTTTTAGTTTTCAATATTCACTTCCACAAGTTTCTGAGTTCCAAATTTCTCACCCCTCCCCCCACTCCAAGATGGCATGCATTCTGAATACCCCTTCCCCTGGTCTGCCTTCTCTTCTATCTCTCCCCCCTCCCTTCTCTTATCCCCTTCCCCTTCTATTTTCCTGTAGAGCAGGATAGACTTCTGTACCCCATTTCCTGAATTTCTTATTTCCCAGTTGCATGTGAATACCCCAATTATGCTTTGATAGAATCAGTGTTAATATCTTTACCTATATCGGTCTGGTCCTTTCAGATTTTTTTATTGCATAGACATTTAGGAAGAAGAAAGAAATGGCAAGACTGCCAAATTCTCCAGTTTGTAACTGGAAAAGTGCTTCAAGGTAATCTAATTCAGCATACACAAACACACACCCCTCATGCCCCCCCTTTTTTTTTTTGCAGATAGGAAAACTAAAGGCCAGAGAAAGGAAAGACTGACTTGTCAAAGATCATACTGTTAGTAAGGGACAGAGCTAAGATTCAAATTCGTGTACTTTGACTCCTAATCCAGTGTTTGTTTTCCATTACAACACTTTGTTCTAAACATTGACTTTGAGTAATAATAATTGAGTTTATATATGTAACACCCTGTTACCACAATTAGATTGGTTTAAGGCTCAGCGTGATAATATTCCCTATGGTGACGCTGGGCAAGTCAAACCCTATTTGCCTCAGTTCCCCATTTGTAAAATGAGCTGGAGAAGGAAATGGCAAACCACTCTAGTATCTTTGCCAAGAAAACCCCAAATGGGGTCATGAAGAGTTGGACACAAATGAAAAAGAGCGGCAATAAAAATGGTACATATAGCTTCCACCTTTTAAACTTTAAGTAGTTTATGTCAGATAACAAGTTCTTAATCACAATCACTCTGAGCCCCCAGTTAGGAAAATTCCTATCATTTAGGCAAAAGTTGGGCTCTCTTGCCTACCTTTAGATTTGTATCTGTCTCTGGTTAACTCCTGGCCTTTTTGTGGTTAAGACAAAATTCAATCGATTGAAAATAAAACAGAATATATTGTATTTTCTGTGAACAGACAGGCTGTGGGATGGGAATTTGGGGGGGGAAAGGCTAATCTTTTTGCAGGACTTCCTTCAGTCAGGGTCTTATGTTTCAACATGTTTCTAGAGTTAATGACCTTCCCTGATATCTCCCTATCTCAGTCTTACTTTGCTCTTCAGAGGTGTGCTAGATCATACAAACTTTTTGGATTCAAACCCTCGGAATCTCTATGTATCTGGTTTTGAGATAACTCCTTCCTTTTATGCTAATTCCTTAACGTGACTAAATCTCTCACACTTCTTTGGTTCAACAGGGTGTACAAACCCTTGGTTTGTTCATGCTGTTTTGCTTGATTAACTCAATCAAGAAGTATTCCTACTTAACAAAGATAATAACTTTAAAGAGGCTGGGATAATCAATGAAACCTCTCAATTACAGGTATGGAGTTTGTTTGCTGAAGTTGGGGGTCAGGGTAGAACAAAGGTTTCCAGCTCTGCCCAGCCCCCTTTGGTTTTGCTTCTGGGATAATTTGTTTGTATCCAGATTAGTGATCTAAAGCATGATAGAGTTTGAAAGGACTATCCTTACCATAGGTCTACCCAGTTCCTTTGGAGTTTTGCTAACTAGAATTTCCAGGAGGATGTGCTGAAACCTCAGGCATAACCAGGGCTATAATGGGATTTAAAAGGAATTTTTTGATTGTAACTCAAATAAGCATTTAGACCAGGAGTTCTTATGTTGGAATCCATGAACTTATTTTTTAAAATATTTTCATAACTGAATTTCAATATAATTGGTTTACTTTGTAATCCTTTGTTTTATTTTATGCATTTAAAAACATTATTCTGAGAAATTGTCTATGACAATAAAAAGGTTAAGAATACCTGACTTAGACTGAGATAGCCTAAGTGAGCCGGTAGGAGTGGCTGGCCAGATCTGAAATCCCAAGTGTTGTAGAGGCAATGTGCTTAAAAAGACCAGATACTCCCAATAGCTATGGCTGCAATTACATTTCATCAAAGATACCAGTAGATGGCAGCAGGATTTTCTAGCAAAGACCAGTGACTGGGGTAAATCAGCAGAGTATCTGTTGTGTGCAACTCAGGAACAGTTATCAGAGACCAGGAGCCAGTGGAAATGATGCTTGAAAAGCTTGAGTTGTCCTGGCTGCACATGTTGCCCAGCCATATGCCTTCCCTCACGAGTGTTCTGCTCACTATCCCATGGATGATGTGGTAACCTGTGGGAGTGTTTTCTGTGTATATTAAGAAGAATCCTGTCGCTTATTTGATTATGCCCTTTAACTGACTAGTGCTTTGATACCTCAGTTGACTGGCAAAATATTAGCAAGGGCTGCTGAGTTATAGTTTTGAATAGTTGCTGTCCAATATAGTGCTTTGAAACTGACAGGGTATATGGGAGTGGGCAGTGCTTTTAGGTGGTCATTAAGAGAGACCTTAGGATGCCCATCAAATGGGGAATGGCTGAACAAATTGCGGTATATTATGATGGAATACTATAAGAAATGATGAGCAGGATGCTCTCAGAAAAACCTACAAAGACTTACATGAGTTGATGCAAAGTGAAATATACTGCGTACAAAGTAAAAGCAGTATTGTAAGATCAGCTGTGAATGATTTAGCTATTCTCAGCAATTCAACGACCCAAGACAACTCTTTCGATGAAAAATGCTATCATCCTCAGAGAAAAAACTGATGGTTTCTGAATACAGATTGAAACATACTCTTTTTTTACTTTATTTTTCTTGAAGTTTTGTTGTTTTTTGGTCTATGTTTTCTTTCACAACATGACTATTATGGAAATGTTTTACATGACTACATATGTATAACCTATTTCAGATTGCTTGCCTTCTCAATGAGGAAGGGAGGGAATTTGGAACTCAAAGTTTTAAAAATCAATGTTAAAAACTGTTTTTATATGTAACTGGGGAAAAATAAAATGCTAAATAAAAGAGGCATTTAAAAAATGAAGGTTATCAAAAGGCATGGAAAAAAAAGATACCTTAGGCACTTATTAGCATTTTTTAATCTGTCTTTGCAGTCTACCTAGAGACTCTCCATGGAAATTAGGGACAAAGAAATCTTTGCAGGGATCTAACAACTGTTAAGGGCCTATATGATAAGAGCTACACAGACTCCAAATATTTGTTACAGGGCCTACATGGGTCTATATGTCCTATGGGCCCTTTCAATTTGGCAGTACTTTCTACAGCATCCTTTCTCTCATCTGGAAGTGAACATCTTTGGGGTTGTGCATGGACAAGTTACAAGACTATTCCTGCTTCTGGTCCTCAGTTTCCTATGGGTCCCTAGGCCTACTGAGGTCATTCAGGACAAATGTAGGAATTTAAGAAGTAGCATGGGGCAGTGCAAAGAACACTAGATTTGGAGTTGGTTTCACATCCAGGCTCCATCACATACTGTGTAGCCCTGGCTAAGTAACATTACCTGACAGTTTCCTCACTTACAAAATATGGGTGATCATATTTATACTAGCTCCCTAACAGTTATGAAAGTGCTTTGTAAATCTTAGTTTGACAGCAGTTATTACTAATAAATAACTCCGTGGTTTGTCTTAGGTCACACATTTTAAATGCTCATTTTTTATTTAGTAATTCCTGCCCAAAGTCTCACATTTCAGGATGCTCACTCTCCCAATGACAATATTCCTGTTTGTTTAGGAGTTGGCTCCTGGATCCTTTGTTCTGATTTTAAAAAAATATCACCCTTATTTCCATTGACATCTTCCTTCCCATCTTGAACCCTCTTCTAGAACTTTCCAAGCATCAAGTTTAAATCCACTCCATATGCACACCATTTTGGATCTCCACTGTGCTCAATTCTCCTTTTAGGCCTTGGAAGCAGTTGGTGGTGATGGTTTTCCCTGGTGTCCTTTATGTCTTGGTTTTCCCATGTCCTTTTTGAGGTCAGGAAGTGGAGACACAGAATATAAATTTGGAGACTTCTCGTTCTTGTCTCCAGATCTGGCCAAAGACAGTTTCCATGACTCAGGAAGCAGGTAGGCAGAGTAATGGGAGCCAAAGCCAAGAAAATAAAATATCCTACATGCTTTATTAGACTTCAGTCTTATGAAATAACAGAAAAATCCATAGGGATAGGGATGGGGGGGGCCAGCCCACTGTGGCCTGCAGCACCCAGCTGACCTGCCCCTTGGCCCTGGGATGGGGGACTCATCCAGAGGGACAAGCAAGACTAGGGGGGGCCATTATTCACAGCCCCTACAAAAACTTGGGGGAAGGGGGTGCTGCCTGGGGTAGGAAGTGGGACACGCACAGTGTGTATCCATTCCCTTCCCTTCCTTACTTATTTCTTATAAGCTGCCTCCTTTCCCAGGCCTGGATGGGGTCAGGATGGGAGGCAACCTTGGACTGCACAGTAGGATTGGGCCCAGAGTCTAGGGGAGCCCAAAGACCATGCACTGGAAAAGAAGTGGAGAGGAGGGGAGGGCTGCAGGCACTTTGGAAATTCAGGAAATTTTTTTAAAAAATGTTTTTGGTTCAAAAGCAACAACATCTTTGCCCAAAGTCCCTCCCAATCCCATCCTCTGCCCCCATTGTGTCCTGTTACAGGCTATACCCATATGTGAGAGTCCCTGACAGCCCCTGTCTAGACTAGGTCCCCAAACCAAAGGGGATCACATGTACTAGATAGGTGCTTAGGGATCACTGAGGCAATCAGTCTCAGGGCTCCAAACTTGGGGACCTGGAGGCGGCTAAATATCTGAGGTTAAGGGGAAGGAAGGGAGAGGAATACGGGTACCTTCCCTTCTCCCCTACCCTACAGAATAGGCAGGAGAGGAGGCAATCATTAGACCATTGGAGAGTGTAGCCCTAGAAGGGCTCCCTGGAAGGGGGGAGAGCCATGGCTGCCCATCCCTAATTTAGCTCCTTTCTGCTACCATGGAGGCCTGATCTCTAGGGCTAGCTCTACCTCATCTCTGTCCTAACTACCTCCCACCCCCCCCCCCAAAGTCAGGCCAAAGCTAGAGCCAGGGTTGGCTCCAGGCTCTCCCCCTTCCCAAAGGAAAAAAAATCAAACATCTCCCCCCCACCCAACCACAGAGCTCTGGCCTCAGCCCTGCCCTGCCCTGCTTGCCCTGTCCAGCATTGCTGAGGTTGGTGGGAGCTTGGGCCTTGGATCAGGCTTCCTTTTTTCTCACTCTAATTGCGTGGGGGTTCAGTGGCGATGGGGAGAACAAAGAATGGGAAGGGTGGGAGAGACCAAGAAAGACATAAAAGCCCAATAAATGGGGAGACCAGAACTGAGGGTCCCCTGCAAAGGTGGGTGAGCTGGACTGAGATGGTGGGTGCAGGGGTAAGTCATGCACTGTGAAGCAGGGATGGAGCCAGGGGATGAAGAGGTTGGAGCAGGAACAACTTATGGAGGCCCAAACAGGGCAGGTGGTGGTCAGTAAATAAATAACGTAGAAGGCTCCTCTTTCATGGGGGGAAGGTAGGGGTACAGAGAGGATGAAGCAGGTGTTAACAATGCCCCAGGTCCTCAGGATCCCCACCTTTCCCTTTCCAGGCCCTGGGTGGGTCCCTTGGAGGAGAGGGAGAATAGATGTGTCTTCCCACCGCAGCCAGCCCTGGTCCAACTACTTCTTGGGCTTCTTGAAGATTTTGAGTGGGAACTTCTTCTTGCCCTGGCCGGAGTCTGTCTCTTCACCCGTGGAGCCACTGTCCTCCTCACCAGCATGCTTCTTGCCTGCCAGGTGGGGGATACGTGTGTTGCGGCCATGGTGAGCCCGGCTGTCCCCCACAGGTGATGGCGTGTCTGGTTCAGGAGAGCTAGGACTGTGGGAACGCGAGGAATCTGAATGCAGGGGCCCTCCTCCCCCCAGCCCTATAGGACCCAGCTCCCCAACACTATAGGCCTTCTCTAGCCCGTGATTCTGCAGGAACAGTGCTTTCTTGACTAGGGCAGGACTCTCAGGCAGCTTCTCCACTAGAGCTCCCCCCAGGGCTGCCTCTGCCAGTCGGTGGCTGCCATTGGAGGTTGGGGCATATAGGGCTTCATCCATGGCTCGGGTCAGCTGTTGGGGCTTGGCAGCCAGCTGGGTGAAGCGAGGGCGGTCACTCGTGTGGAGGGAGGACTCCGAATCGGAATGGGTCAAGTCCCTGCTCAAGACAAGAGGGGATCAGGGCAGGATAGAGAATGGGGAGGAAATAAGGATAGAAGATGGGGGAGAGGAGAAAGAAGGAAAAGGTAGAAGATAGTAAGGCAAAGGCGTACAAAAGTAGGGAGAAGAAGACAAAAGGGAGAATGAGGGGAGAAAGGGGAAAAAATAAGGGGGAAACAATAAGAGGGAAACAAACAGTGAGACAAGGACAGGGAATCATATTAATATCACAGAATTACTGGCAAAGGTCTTTTTATTGTTCAGGCCCTACCTTTGCTACATTTCTGGGCTATATAATGGTTCCATTCCTCTCCTCCCCCTTGGGGAGGAAGAGGTATTCAATGTGAGGACAGCTCTTTCTTCCCTCTCCTTTTCAACATCCTCTAAGAAATCCCCAATCCCCTAAACACCTGTCCACAATGACCTGAAGTTATCCCAGGAGGCTCACAGATTTGGAAACCTTCCTTCCCTTCCTTGAATGTAAATCTGCTCTGATATCCCTGAATTCTCCCCTCCATCCCAACACACACCACTTCCTAAGGAGAAGGAAAAAGCGTGTCCTGTGTCCTAAGCTCTGATTATCATGTCCCACCACATAAAACCCTCACCCCACCCACCCACCCCCAGGTCCTAAGAATGCCCACAGAACCCCAACCATCACAGCACATGCAGTGAAGCCCAGCCAGAGCTGGGGTGGGAGGGGAGAGAAAAAGGAGGAAGAGTTAGAGCAACCTTGCCCCTGGCCCAAGATCTTCACAGGCTGGTGGTGAGACAGACACTTGGAGGTCAGGGAGGAATGACAAAACAGCTGTTTTCATGTGTTTGAAGTCTAAAGGGGATAGATTTGTTCTGTTTGGCCCTAGAGAGCAGAACCAGGAGTAATGAGCAGAAATTACAAGAAGGTAAACTTAAGCCTGAAGTAAGGAAAAACTTTCTAGTAGCCATTCAAAAATTAGCTGCCTCTGGGGGTAGCTGTTTCCCCTTCTCTGGAGGTCTTTGAACAAAAGCCAGACGACCATTTCCTGGGAATGGTGTAGAGGGCTTTATCAGTCCAGTTATGGGTAAGACTGGATAGCTCTTACAACTGAAATTCCATGATGATGGGATCAAATGGACAAAATGCTGAGGGGGCTCTAAGGAGGTGTCACAGAAGTCCAGGCTTTCTTCTGGCCCTCATTCTCTTTTGGGGGCCACTTCATTCCCTACATTTCATCCTTCTGTGGAAACTTTAACACTTACCACAGGGCTAAGAAGGATATTAATAGTGGACGGTTCATATAGGGAGAAGGGGCTAAATAAGTGAAGGATGTCAGTTGTCAGAGTGACCCACAAGAGAAAATACTTTGCAATCTTGTTATTCTTTAAGTGGAAGGGTACTGGAAAGGGAGGTCATGAAGCCTGGATCCTAGTCCCTTCCCATCTCAATGAGTTTGGCTTATGATTTGGAAAGGATAAAATGCTCTGGGAATATAAGACATAATGACTGTGTGGTGAGACTGGTTAGAAACCTTATCTGTGAGCCAGGGGAAGGGGTTGCTTTGCAAGGTTGGGATACAGGTTTCCACACCAAATCACACTCGACATGCACAAGCTGGGGGAATCCATCCCCAGGCCTTTCCCATGGAAGCAGGTATGGAAGGCTAGAAGAAGCCTTCATGGGGCTGGGGCCAGTAAGCCCTAGGCAGGCTTCACCAGTCCCAGTGGCTCTTTCCAACCCCTAAATGTAGGGGCACTCAAGGAGGAGAAGGGCAAAATGAAGGGCCCTGAAGTCCCATTCCCAGCAACTGGTTGAGCTGGGGCCCAGAATGAAGAGAGGGTGGGGCAGTTATGTCTCCCAGTCAGGAGTAAGGGTGAAGGCAGCATTTGAAGAGCAGAGTGTGGGGGCCAATAGGGGGACCTGGAAGCAAATACAGCTGATCTGGAAGAAAGTTCAGAGGGGTCAGAGAGGGTGCGAGGCCCCTAAAGGAAGAAGAGAAAGCGGCAGGTTAGCCCACTGCTCAGACTGGCCATACACCCAGCCCAGCCCCAGCTCTATTCCCTGGCCTAAAGGCTGGGCCTGGAATTAGGCAAGTGGAGGCTTGATTGAGAAATTAGGTCTTTGTCAGGGAAGTGACCCAGGAAACCATTTGTGCTTATGTGGGGCTGGGAGAGAAATCTGAGAAAAAAACAGGCAAGTAGTGACAAGCAGGATCTCTGTTGGTCTCCCAGTTGCAGTTCTTAAACCTCAACCCACTGGGCTGAATTGGAGAGCTTCTGCTGAAAGGCAGGGGGGTGGTTGTGTTAATTGTACAAGGTCAAGGTCCATCTCCACCAAGGAGCCTTCTCTGACTATTCCAGTTTTTCCTAGACACCTATAATAGCATCTTATACCTTTTGACCCTTGGGACAACTGTTCTGCAACTTAAGAGTCTTACAGAGTCAGGTGGGGGCATTATGAGGTTAAGTGATTTGGCCAGGGTCACATGGCTAGTATTTGTGAAAAAGCACATCTTGAACCCAGATCTTAGTGACTCTGAGGCTAGCTTTCCATGTGCTACCTCTTGTGCTCTTCCATAGCTATTTCATAAGTAGGCACTCCAGTGCAGAGAAAGTAGTCCTGGGCCAGGAGTTAGGAGACCCAGCTCAGGGCCTCTTCAGTTCTGACACTCTATGTTCTAAGGCCCTTCCAGCTCTTCTACTGCCATCCCTATATGATGCTGTAGCAGTCTATGATTATGTGCCTGGGAGTCTTGTCTCCCTAAAGGCAAAGATCATATTGGGTTCCATCTTCCCCTCCCCCCAGCACAAAGAGTCAAGGGCAGGGCCCCCAGGAAACTCTTATAGGGACCATTCTGTCCACATACCAGCAGTTAAATTGATTTTAGTTCAACAATTCGAGGTTTGCTAAGTTGAATCGTTGAACTGAAAAGGAAGCTCCCAGGTGAGGCTTCCTGGTTTTCCTAAGGGCTATATGACCCCCTTCCCAGTCCCACCTGTGGCATTACTAACCTTACTAGAGAGCCTGTTTGTCTTTAGAGATGATCCTCTGAAGCACGTTGCAAAAGAAAACCAAGTGGTGAATGGAGTTGGTGCCAAGATCTGTCTGTCTCTGTCCCCCACATCCCCTCCCTCCACTGCCAGCATGCAAGGTCTGGGGCCCAGGCCACCTAAGGAGAGACTGAAGGCTGATCATCCAGCAGGACAGTCACAGGGTCATCCCTCTCTCTGGTCTGAATCAGGGTCTGTCTCTTTTGTCAGTCACTGTCAGTGGAATGCCAGGCCAGCCCCTATGCAGAGGTAGTAAGGGGGTTGACATGGAGAATGAGGATGAGAATGTGGAACTACGGGAAATGGTCCTCTCCAAATCTTAATCTTCAACTGAAGGATCTTGAGCTAGATGGTAACTGGATAGTGCCTGCACTCTGTCCCATCTGCCAAGGCTCCAAGGGGTTTGGCCTTCTACAGCCTCTGGGGAAAGAATATAGGAGGAACCTAGAGCTGGCTGGGATGGAGTAGAAATGCATTTCCCTTAACCTCAGGATTACCCTTTGGGAAAAACAAACATTAAAAAGCAGGGCCTAAGATGAGCTCAGTGTTCTAAGTGCCACTAGCAAAGGCTGCACTAATTGTTGTACAAAGGCTATCTAGGCTGTGCTAGGGATCAGAGCCTTCTTGCAACTGCAGGATATCTTAGGGGATATGGGAGGTCCTCAGCCCAATCTACCTACAGTCTTCAAACAGGAATATCTGAGAATCAACTTGAGGTGAAGGTATCAGTCCACCTTAGCTAACCCATAAGCAGTGGTCAGAGTGTGTGTGCGTGCACGTGTGCATATGTGTGTGTGTGTGTGTGTGTGTGTGTGTGTGTGTTGAGTGGGGTGAAATTAGTTTCAGTATCCCCCAATGAGGAATGAGATAGTCTAGGGAACCCTGAACCACAGCAGGGGGGGATAAGGGAAGCCAAGTTTTGACAGGCATCAAGACATGGGGGCACAATCGTGTTCAGAAGTCCTGAAAGGAGTCATACAAGAAGGAATCAGATTCCAGGATCAAAACTTGTCCTTAACCTCCAGAGTCAGATTCAAATAGTCCTCCACCACCTCCCACCTTCAGGGTTCTTCTGCCTGGTTTAGAACCACTCCCAATACCAAAGTATTTCTGTGGATATCAGCTGAGAGAGTACTCAACCTCTGCTAGTCTAAGGACCTGCTTGGGGCAGGGCTTTTTCCTAGGCAAGTTGTGGGCCCTGCCAGTACCTCCTAGAAGCAGCTTCTCTCTCAGACGGGAAGCCAATGGGCTGGGCTGGGTACAGATGGGAGGGAATAAGATTGAATTTCTTTTGCAATATGCTTGTGGGGACTTTATGGGACAACTTGTGTGATTCTTAGGTGAATCTTTTCACATTTCTGGGTCTTAATTTCCTCTTCTATAAAATAAAGATCCTAAACCTAGCCCTGTGTCCCTACCAAAACCATTGTAAGGACCCAATGAGAAAATGGATATGAAACACTTCAGAAAGTTAAAAGCACCAGCTATGTAAAGTTAAGGGAATAATGTTATTATCTTTGGTTCTTAGGCAGCAAACCCAAAATGGAGAATTAGAAAGGTGGAAGTTGGGAGGGAGTTAGCTAGGGCCTTCCTGCTGCCCTGTCATAAAATGGGGCCCAGAAGGAGGGTCCAGCCTGGCTCCCTTGGGCTTTGGGAAGATTAAACTGGCAAAAGAAAGTGAAATTAAATCAAGGCTAGTTTGAGGAAAATGAAGTACAAACAGCAGCTGGCAGGCACAGACAAAAGGAGAAAGGAAGGGATCAAGGCAGGAGATGTATACCCCAAGCTGTCGGATCGATAGGACATCCCAGACTGGGCATCGGGAGGGGGTGGGTCGGGGTAGGGATCCATCTGGAGGAAGTAAGCAGTGCTGTGGTGGTAATAGACAGGGTGGACATGGAAAGTAGGAGCAGAGGTGGAGGCAGCAGAGGAAGAGGAAGAGCAGGAGGAGGTGACAGCTGATGGAGGGCTGGTCCCGTGAACGTCGGAACTGAAAGATTGTCCAGAGGAAAGGCTGCGCATTCGCCGCAGAGACACACGGCCTGGCACGTAATGGCTGCCCTCACTCTCTACCAACCTCTGCGATCCTAGGACGTGCTGTGGTTCCACCAGACGCTGCCGGACGCTGCTGTGAAGACTGGGAGCTGCAATGAGAGAGCGGTTCCAAGTGAGGCCCAGCTGGGTGAGACAGGCAGGCAGCCCATTCACATAGGTCCTAGTCCTGGTTCCCTTTCCCCCTAATCTTGCATCGTGACCCTGCTCCTGACCTTTCATTCTCCCAGTCTTGAGAATTGGGCCCTCCCCACCCCAGGAACTGCGTGAGTAGAAGAGATGATGCCCATGAAGTAATGGTGCTCCCAAGACAAGGGTGCAGGGGTGATGTCAGACACCCTCTGAAGGATGGGAAAAGAGGCTTCAGTGAAGGGCTACTGTAACAGGATCCAAGCAGTTAGGAGGGCGAGGGGCAAGAGAGGGCAGGTGAGAGAATGAGGCAAGGTTCTAAAGGGTGAGAAGAACCAGCCCTTGGCTGGGACTGCCAAACTGTGCTGGACAAACCTAGGACAAACCCAGGACGGTGGCCCAGGAATCCAGGCACAAATAGCCCACACCTCCAGAGGACAAACAGTGTCAGTACCAGATGCCTGCTTCCTACTCAGATAGTATAGACTTCCCTGCTCCCTGTGGAATGGAACTAGTCCCAAACCACAGCAGGGGCCCAAGAAGTCCATCAGGGTCCCTTCTTTCCACACTGGAGTTAGTTAAGGAGTATAAAGGTAGGAGTAGCACTTCTGGAGCTGCCTTCTAAAGGGCTAGTGGCAGGAGTCATGAGAGGAAGAAAGGGAATAGGAGCTTAAAAAAACAGAGCAGAGGAACATGGAAAAGGAAAGAGAGAAAGTCAGGGATGATAGAAAGAGAAAGACCTGGAGAAGCTAGAGAAAAGAGAAGTGAGGAGTTAGAGAAAGGAAGAAAGAGGATGGGGTAGTAGTTAGTAGTAGCTGCTGATATTTTGATAGCACTTTAAAATTTACAAAGTGCTTTCCAAACCCCACCCCTGGGAGGAAGGTACGGTAGCTATTATTGGAAAGGAAGAGGAAACTGAGACTCAGAAAAGTGACTTGACCAAAGACACATGGATATTAAGTGGCAGAGACTTGATTCCCAATCCAGGAGTCTTTCCATTAGAGGGAGGGAGGGAGGGAGGGAGAGAGAACACAAAAGAAAAAGGAAGGAGACTGGAGAAGAAAGAAGTGAAGAAGAAAGAGGAAAAGACAGGGAGAGAGAGGAAAGAGAAGAGAGATAAAGAAGTAAAGGGGAGATGGAATGCAGGAAGGATAGAAAAATGAGGAGAACTGGGCAAAGAAAGGGAAGAGACAAAGAAAGAGGAAAAGAGATAAAGGGGGAGAGAAAAGAGGGAGATACAAAAAGGGGATCAAGGAGGAGCACATTTCTCCCTCTCCCTACCCCAGCTCCAAGGCAATTGTGGGCATTTCTGTTAGGAGGAGTCAGTTTCCCCCTTTCTTGTGAAAAAGAGTCCCCTGGGCTACAGGGTCTAGAAGGAGAGGCCAAACTTTGGGTCTTGGGAGAGTACTTCCTCCCCAACCACTGCAAATTCATTAAGCCTGCCCTCATCATGCCCCTTTTCCCAGCACCCAGTGGGAGCCCCTGGGGTGAGTGGGCTGATTCTTCTCCACCCACCCAAGCCTCTTCCTGAGGTTAGTAGGGAGGGGTTGTGCTGAGGGTCTGGGGGGTGTCAGTTGGCTGCCTCAGAAGCAGGGGCGGAAAATCAGTTAATCCCAAATATGGGAGGAAAAGCAAGCCCAAAGGAAGATCATCAAACCCGGGTATTTCCAGAGAGACTGATCATCTGAGCTGACAGACGCCGAGCACACAGAGCGATCACTGAACCTGCGCCCCATCAGCCAGGCAGCGTCTGGGGGGAGCCAACAGGGCAAAGGGGAGAAGAGAAGCCAATTTACAGGGGGGCCTGGAGGCCTTCTGGCCAGCAAAGGGAAATACTACCCATTTCTGGGGGAACACTGGGATGAACTGAACCCTTAGCTACTTCTACATCCACTGCCCTGCCTTACTCAGGGCAGAGGAAGTCCTCATCTATACAACAGTTCCTCAAATCCCACTATACCCTTCCTTCCTGGAGTTACCAAAAGCTGGTAATTAGTTGTGCGACCAGGAACAAGTCACTTTATAAAATGAGAGAAGCTCAGAGTTGGAAAGAGACTATCAATACAGTCCAATTGAACTTACTTGAGAAAGTATCCCTCTATGACTGCCATCCCTAACAGGAGGTCAATCTGGCCTCTGCCAAAAGACTTCCAGTGACGGAGAACTCACTACTTCTGAAGGCAGTTCGTTCCACTTTGGGACCACAGCTCTAACTATGAAGAAGTGGTGTTGCTTTTTTACATTATGTTCAAATCTGCATCTCTACACTATCCAACCAATGCTCCTAATTCTGCCCTTTGAAGCAAAGCAGAACCAAATCTAATCCCTCATTTAAGTAACAGTTTTTCAAGCTGATCATATATATACCTCCCTAAACTTTCTCTTATGTAGGTTTAACATCCCCACACTTTCAGCTGATTTTCATGTAGCATGAACTTCAGGCCTCTCATCATTCTCCTGGCTCTTCTTCCAGTTATTCCAGTTTTTCAAGGTACTTAAAACATGGAACTCAGAACTGAAGATCATATTTCTGACGGGGCTTGACTAAGGCCATGCTAGAAGAACCCATTCCACCATTCTGGGGACTCTGCCTTAATACATGTAGCCCAAGGTCAAATTAGCTTTTTTGGCTACCCTATCTATAGATTCATGCTGAGTTGCCTGTCCACTAAATACCCCAAGTCTTAGAGAGGAAATGACTTGACCTTCTTGGACCTCAATTTTCTCACCTATGACATAATCCCTGTGTCTCCATCCTTTGCTGTGTCATTTGATGAATACAGACAAGGTGTCTAGGGAAAGAGTTAGAAGAAGATATAAAACAAAGAAATCCACCCTGGAGCTGGTATGACAGGAAACGGAAAGAATTCCCAGAAGTACATGTTAACTATCAGAATTCCTGGTCTTTAAGGCCTACTTCAGTTGTGCCATCTCTAGGTCCTGCTCCTGGCCCTGTGTTCTATGTGAATTTCTAGGCCCCTAGGGTTAGAGATGCCAAATTGATGTGAGCCTCAGGCCAGACCAGGTCCCATCTTTAAGTTAGAAATTCCAAAGTTACTAAGGAGGCTTCTGTTCATCCTTTATATATCAGGAAGGGAACTTTGAGATTGTCTAGTTACAGGTTCATAGGATTTATAGTTTGAAGGGACCTCAGAGATCACCTACGCAGGGCTGGACTAGATGAAGAAACTGAGGCCAGAAGAAGCCCAGTGACTTGGCTTGGTATCATGCAGACAAGACTCACAGAGCTGAAATTTAAGCCTAGGGTCTGTTGCCAAATCCAGTATTCCTTGCACCATACTACCTTGCCTCTCTAGTTAGCTGATAACCTGAGGCACCAGGAAAAAGACCCTAACAGGAGACCTTTGCTCCCATGGCTTCTCTTGCCTGGTTTATATACTTCACCTATGCATTAGTGGGTGGCAGGGCAGCATTGGGAGCTCATGAGGGGAGAGAAGGGAAGTGTTGCTGGCTCTTCAGGGTTCTAGGATCATTCTAGCTCCCTTGATGAAGTCTTATACAGTAAAAAAGGTTCTACTTACTCACCACAGTGAGTAAGGATTAAGATGCATTTCACCACTAAAGACTACTCATCAAAAGCCAAATTAAGGCTCATTTGTAGGAGCAGCATGGATCAATGTGGAGGGAAGTTACAGGGAGGAGGGAGATTTCAGCTCAGTATAATGAATAACTTCCTAATGATTAGAACTATCCTACCACAGGCTGCCTGGAAGAAGATAGTGAAGTTCCCATCCCTAGAGGAGCAAACTGCCCAGCCAGAGGTTGGATAAGTGACAAGAGGTTGTAGAGGGATTCCCAGCATCGAGAAGATTGAACATGTTGTTGTTTAGTCGTTTCAGTCACTTCCAACTTTTTGTGACCCCATTTGGGGTTTTCTTGGCAAAGATACTGGAGTAGTTTGCCATTTCCTTCTCCAGCTCATTTTACAGATGAGAAAACTGAGGCAAACTGGGTTAAGTTATTTGCCCAGGGTCACACATCTAGTAAGTGTCTGAGGCTAGATTTGAACTCAGAAAGATGATTCTTCCAGACTCCAGGCTCCACACTCTATGCACTATAACGCCACCTAGCTGACCTTTACCCATAAAATCTCTTGAATTTTAGGGTATCTAGGGCACCTGGGGTATCTAGGGTATTAGACAAGTTATTTTTTACTGTCTAGGGATTTCCAGATTCCCTAATAGACAGATAAACAACTTATCTAGTATTCGCTTTCATGGAGAAAGAGAAAATGTAAAAAGTTCCACTCAACTACTTTCAAAATTAAGAACATGCAGGATGAAATGGTATTTAATAAACAATTAATAATTTTGAAAATAAAATTCAGTTCTATTAATGATAGCTAAAGGACAGAAATTTAGGGGAGGTAAGGAATGAATGAAAAAGAGAGGGAGAGAGACAAGGACAGACAGGATACAAAGACTGAGACAACTCTGAGGACCCTTACCCCCTTATATTTTGTTATCAGTTACCTGTGTACATGTCCTATGTTACAGAGTTAGAGATTCTGAGAGCTAAAACTGACCTGTACTGAACCTGTGTTCCTATTAATAGCTCAAGAAAAGTTCATTTAAATTCAGCTCAGAGGTGGCCAAAGTTAACAAAGAAATTGAGGCCCAGGTACAGGAAAGAACTTATCCAAGGGCACATGGTGAGCGCTCCCAGTTCATAGTTCTTTCAACAATAATGCATTGCTCCCCTACTCCTTGAGGGTAGGGACTGCATTTTATTCAATTCTGTATTTTGAATCCCCTTTCCCTTCCCATATGCCAAAATAGGGCCATGTACATGGTAAGCACTCAGGAGAGATTTGCTGACTATATAAATGCATGAGAGACAGAAAGAAATAAACAATGACAGTAAAAGACACAGAGAAAGAGATAGATACACAGCAGAGACATACAAAGGTAAAGGCAGAAAGAAATTATTTATGACTTAAAGAATGATAGCACTGAAAATTTTTAAAAGCTGTTGTGTTTTCACAACTATGGATATAAATGGGCTTGTCACCTTTTGGTGCCTGACTTGGTAGCTGGATTACATTAAGTGAAGCGCTTGAGTTTCCCCACCCCTGTGCTTGCTGCCAGAGGAAGGAAGAGTTCCTGGCCTTCCCAGAGAGACCAAGCAGCATCTCCCGATTAGGCTACTTGGAATTTTGGCTGCCATGCCCCTAGGACAACCTCCCCACCCTAGTGCTACCTACACTGCATGGACACTGGTGATACAATTTCCTCATCCATGTCGTCCACATCGTCTGTCATGATAAAGTGGGAAGGGTTCGGGCGGGTGTTGCCCATCCAGCTGGGATCGATGTTGAGGGCGGCCACCAGAGTGTGAATACCGGGATTGTTGACAATTTGGAAACCACAGAGGATCTCAATCTGCTGCCATCGGTGCAAGCGCTCCCTTAATGCTGCTGTCACTTCACTCAGGGCTTGCCTGGAAATAGGGCCCAGACAGGCAGTAAGCCTCAAAAAGTATACAACCTTCCTTTTAACCTGACAGGTCTGGCCATACCTTGACCAGACCCTGACCCAGTCCAGCCCAGTCTAGTCCCAAACCAATACCATAGGAATGGTTTTCCCATGCCAGAGAAACCAAGGAGTAGGAACATAGAAATCCTTGGTCTAACACTTACCCATATTCATGCTAGGCAAGATAGCTTTGGAATGTGAGCCTGGGCAAAGACCTGCCACACTTCCAAGGAGGAGAAAAAGTCTAGGGGACAGTTTGGGTCAGGGAAAAGCCTGAGAAACATGGAGGCAGGAAATAGGGCCACATCTTTCTTTCTGAGCTATATGGAAAAGAAGGTACCAGGCCTGGAGCTCCACTTCAGACCTTCCAGTGAGGACAGACTTGGGGAGTCCATCTTCCCAAAATGGCAGGACATACTCACTTGGCTGTTAAGATTTTGTGATCCACATCATCCAGGGAAGAGCTGTGGGCCACATGGAAGGTTCCAAACAGGGTGTTTCTCTTCTTTTTAATCTTCTCTGCCTGAAAAACCCAAGATGTGTTCCCTTAAAGGGAACAGGGCTCAAGAATGGGGCACAGACTGAGGCCTATACAGCCAGCCATATTCTTCTCCGGCTAGGCACATGACAGTGTATTCCAGTTGAAAGGAAGAGAATAGCGACCATTCTAGGCAACTGCCCTGAGGAGGTGCCTTTTCTCCTTGACTAAAAGGTCACCCCAGTGCTGCCCAGTCCCTGTCCCTGGGCAATGAAGAGCCCAGCCCCCTTTCCAAGGCTCAGGGCCTAGTAGTTGCTGCATCTGTCTGGATCTCAGATGACTGCTTCTCCTTTCCTGGCTGGGGGCCCTGAGCCAATGTCCCTGACAGAGACCAGGGAGATGGCTCTCCTCCCTTCCCTTCTCCTGGGGCACACTCAAGGAGTAATTATAATAACTTCCATTCTAGAGTACTTAAAGCTTTTCAACTGTTTGATCACGATATAGTCAATTAGGTTATAATTACTCCATTTTACAGATGAAGAAACTTAGTCTCAGTTTAACACAAGGCTTACTTTCTCTCAGTGTAAAATGGGGATGATGATATTGATGGTAGCTACCTCAAAGAATGGTTCTGGAGGCCCAAATGATACCATAAAAATTAAATTAATAATAATACTGGCATTTATGCAGCTCTTAAAACTTGAATACATTATCTAATTTGAGCTTTGCAATCATTCTGTGAGGTAGATACTAGATAGGGATGAGACTTGTGATTCCATTGTTACAGGAAACTCCTACAGGAGGAAACGCCCTCTACCAACGCAGGTTGGCATCTCTTTTCTCTGCCTCGTATAGTTGCCACAGTCATCTCAGAGAGCTGCCCAGATCCCTAAGAAATGAAGCAATCTGGCCCAGGGTCACATGGACAGTGTGTGTCAGAGGCCTGCAATGCCACAAAGGACTTGACATCCTCACCCCTTCCTTGGCCACCAGTAGCTGCTTCTCAGCATTCTGCTTCTTGATGTTGTAGTACTGCACCTCCACCTCATGGGTCAGCTGCAGCCACTTCTGCAGAGCCTCAGGGGCGTACCAAGAGCTGTGGGACTCCAGCTCCTTCTCAGCATTCTTCAAAGCCATGCGGACCTACAATGGCAAGGCACAGGGATAGGGCCATAGCCTCTACTTTATCTGCAGTTCTGCCAGCCCCACTCCCCAAGTGGACAAGGGCCATAACCACCTGAGCTCTGCAGAGGAAGACTCAATAACACACATTTTAACAGAGCTTGAAAGTTTACAAAGCACTTTTCTCATAGCCACTTTTTGAGGCTGGGAATAAAAGTATTATTATCTCCATTTTAAAGAGGAAATTGAGACTAAAAGAAGTAAAAAGACTTCCCCAGTCACAGAGCTAGCATCAAACCCAGGCTCCCTGACATCCAATTCCAATGCCACGTTGAACACGAGGAGTGCAAAGACCAATCCCTCTTTTCCCCTCAATCCATGCTGAGCAGGAAGCAGACCTCAGGACATGGGAAGCTGGCCTCAGGCAGGACAGGAGGGATCCTTTGCCCAGACAAAATTCCAGCTTCCTGCACTCAACAAGTCTGGGCCTTCCTCCATCCTCTCCCCTGCTCCCTCCAAAGATGGTGTGTGATATTTATAGCACAAGGGACTGGGATTATTGTTGAAACGACCCACAGGATTTCAATGTCAGGGATAGGACTGAAACCCAAGTCTTCTCACTCTTTATCCAGTTGAATTCAACAAATGTTCATGTGTTCCAAGGCTCAAAAACAGGGTACTGGTACTACTTGCAAGAGCCTATACCCAGGATTCCCTCCACTAACTCCATGTGAACTCCTCCTAAATCTTCACTTGGGGATTCTCTCCAAAAAAGATAAAGGTATTAATTCGTCTAATTTTGAAATAATGATCAAGGAACAGAAAGCTAAATAAACTATAATAAATACTAAAAATCTAATTCGGTTAGATTTGGTGCCACTTAGAGAGGTGGAGAAAGAAGAAGAGGTAGTTGTATGGGAGGAACAATAAGAGAGGGAAAGCAGGGAAGAAACAGGGATAACATGGAAGAGACACACCCAAACTGAGGGGGAGGGGAGAAAGGATAAACAAAGGGAAGGCAGAAAAGAGACAGAGTGAAAGAGAGGACAATGAAGGGAGAGAGCAGGGTTCAGTGAGTTTTGAGCTATAAGATATCATCTATTGCCACGAGTTTGGTCTAGGGACCAATGGTTGAGAGTGTAATCAATTGTTCTCTACTATCCTCTGAAATACTGATTGACCACAGGACCTCAATCTTCAACTGCTCTAAACTCTAAACCTCTAGATCAGAGTTAACTGTTTTTGTGTCATGGTCCCTCTGGAAGCACGGTGATACCTATGAAGCCCTGCTCAGATATTTTGCTGCCTATATTCATAATTGAGAGATATGATAAATTTTAGTTAGAAATTAGTAAAAATGTATAATATAAAGATATGGTTTTTCCCCTTTAAAGTTCATAGACCTTCCTCGAAATCTAACCAAATACCCTGATTTAAGAACCTCTGTTCTAGAAGCTCTGCTCTAGAATAATCAGATCAGACTATCCAGGGAAAATTCTTATTTTCATAATTTTCCAGGGAATTAATAAAAATACCAGTAGCAACAACGATAGCTCCAAAGTCTTTGTTACTAACGATAACCCTGTGAGGCAGAAAGTGTAGGTATTACTCTCCTCACTTAAACAAATTTGACTGAGACTGAGGGAGCTGAAGTAACTTGCCCAGAGCCCCATAAATAATAAGTGGCCAAGCTAGTTGTGACCGGACTGCAATAGATGAGAAAAGCCCAATCTTTGAGGCAGGCCCCTTCTTCCCCTCCACCCACCCCACCCCACCCTTATGTTCCTAGTCTCATATGACCGGGTGTTACTGGCTATCCCCACCTCCCACCCACCAAGGTCCACCCTACCTGCTCCAGTTCTTGCTCTGCATATTTCTGGCGGCTGAGCTCATTCTCTGTGCCCTCACGTAGTTCTCGAAGCCGGTGTGCCTCCTGTTTGGCAATGCTGATCTCATCTTGCAATTTTTTCTCCAGGTGCACTTTTTCTACTTCTACTGTCCGATGTTCCTCCTGGGCCTTCTGTAGCCTGTGGGAGATGAAGGACTATTTTTCATATATCCCAGAATTTTCTCCTTTATTTTGTAACAAATCTATATGGAGAACCTAGTATGCCTGGTCTTAGGCTCTGTCAAGCTGTGGAAGAGATAGGAAAAGATATTGGTCTTTGTCCTAGGCTTGGCCATGTTATATGCGAGTCAGCCAAGTCAAGCCAAGGGAAATGCACAAGAAAACTTGGGCTTGATCAAACTGTGGGGGAGAAAAGGAGAGAAGGAGACTGGGTCCCACTTAAAGTCTGGCTGGGGATATAATAATAATAACTCCTTGCTATAAGGATTTTCTCACAAGTCTGTCAAGTTGCTGATCTGCATCTGTGGAGGAAGTTTCCAAGCTAGGGAATAAAATTCCAGGTTTTGCCCAAAAATAAATTAAAAATGCAAGTCCCCTAGGGAGGGGGTTAGGCAACTACTATTAGCCCTTCATACTTTAATGGGAACAGGCTGAGAACTGGACTTGTAAGATTAGAACTTGAACTGTTAAGTTCTGATAAGGGTGAGAAGGGTGAGAGTTCTGACAGGGTACTGGTCATGGAGGATGAAGGCATGGTCCTCTATGGGAAAGAGGGACCCCAAGAGGGAGGACTGTGTTGAGGAAAGCCAATGACAACTTTAGCTTGTGTACCTGGGCTTTGGACTAGATGATCTTCAGTAGGTACAGATTTCATCAACCAACTTGAGCTTTATATGAGGAAAAACTTCAAACAATAGTAGAGCTAACTCTTTTGGTAGCTGTGCTCATTCTGACTGAAGTCATACAGTAGAATCCTCTGCCTTAGGAAGCAGTGGGTTCCCCTTCACCAAAGGTCTTTAGGCAAAGGCTGGATATATTTGTCAAGGATGCTGAAGAGGGGATTCCCATTCAGGCAAAGGTTGGACTAGATGATCCCTCCAACTCTTGCCAATTCTGAAATTTTACGATTCTCTTCTTCTTTGTGATTTCTCCTTCTAAATCCTATGATCCTCTGGGGTCTGTCTCCCTGCAGAGGTAAGGACTTGGGATTTTTCCTGCTGCCCACCAGGTGGCACCATGTGTCCTCGTTATAATCAGGGCTGAGCTCTAGTTCCTTCCAACCCAGTTTGGGAGCTATGAAAGGGCTCATGGACTTTCACAGGCAGGAGTCAAAGGCAGTCTTAAGAAGAGCATGCCATGGGAGAAAACAAACCTCACTGGCTCCTGAACAGAACCAAGGGTACATACCTAGCCTTGTCATGCTTATTTTCTACTCCCACTTCTAGGGCTGCCTCATCCATGTGGCAAGAGCACTAGATTTGAGGTGAAGGGGAGACTGGGTTCAAATCCCAGATCTGTCACTGTCTGTGTGACCTTGAACAAGTCACAACCTCTTTGGACCTCAGTGTCTTCATCTGTAAAATGAGAGGGTTGAACTCAAAGATCTATAACATCCCTTCCATTTCTGACATAATAACATTCTTCTATTTGGGATTATAACATCATGGATTTAGAGCTAGAAAGCACATTAGAAAGAGAATTGTGGAGAATTTTAAGGCACCTTAGAAATAATTTTACAGATGAGGACATAGAAACTCTAGCATATATTATTAAAGGGAGTTAATGTCAAGAAAAGGAAGTGGTAGACCTGAAGAGGCAGAATGGCTTCAGCAAAAAGAGGGATGCCAGACTAATTTAATTCCCCATTTTTGACCAGATTATTAGACTTATATCAAGGGCATACTCTAGATATATTTTACTAGACTAGAAGCAAAACATTTCATAATGTCTTAAGACCCTCTTCTGACCCTTGCTCTCCTCTTTATGCTCCATGGTTCTTAAATTCTATTCATCCTTCTTCTTTAAGGTTTTTGTATTCATTCACCCCTGAGGTTGCCTCCCCCAACCCTGCCAGCCCACACTCCTCTTCCTGGGGGATTTTAATAACCTTCTCCCTAGCCTTCTCCTCTTTAGTCTCTTTCCTTTCATCTCTCCTGCAAACCGAACCAAAATCAATTTCCCAAAGCCCATCTCTAGCCAAATCTCTCTTCTATTTAGGAATCAGACATGGCTCCCTACGGTCCTCAAACTCACCAACCTGTAATTCAAGACCATCCACCTTCCCCTTCGATTTCCCTCCAGTTCATTCCAGTTCCCTTAGGGGAAAGCAAAAGTCTAATCCTCTTCCACATGACAACCTTTCAAATATTTAGAATCACAGAAGGATAGACCCAGAGGGAACCACTGAGATCACCCAGCTTAACCCCGACATTTAAAAAAGTTTATCTTTATTATCTTTTTTTTAATATTACCTACATTTCCCCATGTATTCCTCCCTTCTCCCTCCCAAGTCATCCCTTATAACAAAGAAGAAAAAGTTTTAAAAAAAAACATAGTTCAGCAAAACTAACCAACACATCAAAAAAAACCCAGATATCATATGCAGTGTTCTATATCCATAGTATGCGGATACTGTGGATAATATGTATATACCCCACCCTTGCAAAGAACATGGGGAAGTACATTCTCACATCACTTCTTTGGATCCAAGCTTGGTCATCATAATTTCATAGCAGTTTTGAATGTTTTGTTATTACCGTTCCTTGCGTTTACTTTGTTGTAGTAATCACATATATTAATTTGCTGCTTCTGCTAATTCTACTTTGCATCAGTCTATGCGTCTTCCTACACTTCTCCATATCCATCATGGTTACTATTTCTTGCAGCACTTTCATCAGCTCCACATTTTAAGGAGAAAGAAGTTGATGCACCCAGAGGTCAGGTCACTTGCATAAGGTCACAGCACAGCAGGATATAGCAGTAGCTCTGGCACTCACTTGGTGACCCTCCTGCTCTTCTCTGAGCACAGTAATCATGTTTCCTCCACTCCTGATGCCTCTCAGAGTTCTTGCCACTCTGGCTCTTCCAGCAGCAGCCCTACTGTCTGAAGTCAACTATCCATTTGACTGCCCAGAAACAAGGGCATTGTCTGACTAACTGACCCTTCCTCTTTATCCCCGGGATGCCCTCACTCCACTCAATGCTCAGCTCAAGGGCCACAAGGGCCACTGCCAATGGATGCTACTCCTCCTCCCTACTTCATGTTTACTTTGCATTTGCTCTACATGTTGTTTTTCCCAGTAGAATGTAAGCTCCTTGAGAATAAGGACTATTTTATTTTCATCTTTATAATGTAAGTGCCTAGCCTAGTGCCATGCACATATAGTGCTTGTCACTTGGATCTGTGTATATGATAACATTATAATTATTAGCAATAATATTATCATTTATATCATCCTTTAAGGTTTGAAAAACACTTTATACACCCTTTCTCATTTGATGCTCACAAAAACTTTGTGAAATAAGTGTTTACAGATATTATTATCCACATTTTAGAGATGAGGAAACTAATGCTGAGAAGTTAAGCAACTTGCTCAAGGTCATACAGCTAATGAGTTTCTGAAGAAGTAGGATTTGAACCTGAGTCTGCTTACTCAAAGTCCAGCATTCTGCCCAGTGGGTCCTGTTTCCCCCCCCTCAGAAGGTGAGTATACTTTAAGGACAGGGACTGGTTCCACTGGAAAGAGTGTTAGATTCAGGGTCAAAGGATCTGGGTTTGAATTCTGACCCTACTATTTATTGCCTGTGTAACCTTAGACAAATCACTAGGTTTCTCTGGGTCTCAATTATTCATCTGTAAAATGACAAGGTCCAACTAGCTGGCTTATACTGTCACTTCAGTTCCTGATCTATGATCCTGTGATCTTCTTGGAGCACATAACAAATGTTTGGCAAGTTCTTGCTGACTGACAGTTGCTTTCTATAGCCATATTTATCTTGTCTTTTGTAGATTATTTCTTGTTTTCTTTACTTAAACATCACAAAATGTCAGAACTGGAGACTATCTGATCTGTCCCCTTCATTTTAGATAGGAGAAAGGCAGCATGACATAATGGAAAGAGCCCTGGATTTGTATTCAGAAGACCTGTATTAAAATTCTAGCTCTGCCACTTACTACAGTTTTGATCTGGGGAAATCCCTAGCCCATTCTGGGGGATTGGGCTAAATGACTTCTAAGGCCCCTTCTGGCTCTAAATCCTATCCTAAGAAAGTGAAGCCTAAAAAAAGAGATTTTTTTAAGGTCATATAAGCAATGAATATGAATGAGATTTAAGTTAGATATAAGAAAGAATTTCCTAATGATAAGGTTTATTAAAAGCTGCAATATAGTATAAGACAAATCATGAAAGTCTCCCTTTGGAATGAAGAAGTCAGCTATCCATCTGACTACCCAGAAACAAGGGTATTGCCTGAATAACTGACCCCTCACTGACTATCTTAGCCAGAGAATTTCACGATCATACACAACCAGCAAGGTTCAGAGGTAGGATGATCAAAGATAACACTTTCTCTTGGGATGGAGAGAGGTTATTCTTTTTTTAATTCTCTGGCCAGTTTGGTAGGATGAAAAAACACTGGAATAAGGAGATTTTAATTTGAATCCTAGCTTTGTCATTAACTTTTTGTGTGACACTGAACAAGGCAACTGACCTCTCCATATCTCTGTTTCCTCATTTATAAAAAGAGGGGTTGAAATAGATGTCTTTAAAGTTCCTTCTAATACTTAGGATCATAGGATCCAGAGTCAGAAGAGACCACAGAGATCATTTAGCCCAATTATTTCACTTTACAAATTAGGAAACTGAAGAGCAAAGAAGTGACTTGTCCTAATAGTTGACATCCCACTCCCCTCCCCCAACAGTAGTCTTTAAAGACCCACTCATATACCTCTCCTGGAGATCATGAAGACTCTGCTCAGCTCTGTGTAGCCCCTCCAGGTCTTTCATCATCTTCTTCATATGCTCCTTGGAGTATCTGTTCTGAATGTAGGCGAACCAACATCCACCCACTCCAATGACGATGGACACAACCAGCATGAAGTCCTTCAAATGGTTATGGCGGGTCACTGCAAAAGGGAATGACAAGGAGGCTAATCACCCCCCAAACCAGTTCTCTGTATGTTCCTCTCCTGCACATCTCCAATTGGCAAGGCCACAGACAATGTGAATAAAGTCACCAAATAGAAACAGCAGCAAATAAATCCTTCCTGGTATTGTACCCAAGTCAAAGCCTAACCCACTGCCTCTAAGAACACCCCATGACTGTCTTAGTGACAGTAAACCTCTCCTTTTCTGAGCCCCTGAGGCATTCTGTCTAAATTTGACAAATCTGACAAATGTTTATTAAGTGGCTACTGTGTGCAGGGAACTGTGCTCAGTATTCAGGCTACAAAAATAAAAACATAACCTTTTCTCTGCCCTAAATTAAAATTAAATGGAAGGAAAAGTACACATACACAAATAACTATGCCACTTATTACCTAGCATTCAAAGTCATCCATAATCTGATAATCCTTATTCTATCTTTCTGAACTCTTCTAATCATTTTCTCCTACCTGTATTCTACATTCCACCCCAATCAATCTCTTTATCCTCATCACATACTCCCCTGCCAGGTACCTTGGCCTACATTCTTCCTTTTCCTATCATATTTTTAAAAAAATTTTTTGGTCGATATCATTTGTTCATATATTACTTTTATTTCTATATATTCCTCCCCATTCCTCTACTTAAAGAGATATCTCTTGTTACAAAGAATAAAAATTAAAGGGGAAAAAAAAAAGCTTGGCAAAATTGACCAACACATTGACCAAGTCTAACAGTATATGCAATGTTCCACATGCACAGTCCCTCATCTCTGCAAAGAAGGAAAGGAGAGTCATTTTCTCATCTCTTCATTGGGTCCAAGTTTGGTCACTAAAATTCCAGGGCTCATTTTTTTGTTTAGTTGTTACTAGCCACCTATTTACTTTCTTATAGTCATTGTTCACACTGTTTCTCTGGTTCTGCTTATTTCACTTACTTATATCAGCCTTCTGTCATAACTACTCACACTTCTATATCACCAAACCAAACACCACCTCCTCCAAGAAGCCTTCTCTGACTCTCTCAGCAGAAAATGACTTTCTGCCTCAACCCTTGCATTACCCTTTGTCTGTACCATACTGAAAGTGCCTTAATATATAATAGTGTGTAGTAAGTTATTTATAGGATAGCCTATCCTTTTACTGAACTGTAAGCTCCACAAGGGTCAGAACCAGGTCTTTCATCTTTCCACACCCAACACAGTGTGCAGTACAAGCAAACACATAAGAAACTTAATAAATACTTCAGGAGACATGTGATAAGGCCACCTGTTTATCTAACCTCTCCCCAATCATCATGGCCTAAAATGCATACTCTAATCTCATTGTCTCATTCTCCCCTATACACCTTCATTTGTTATTCTTTTGACCTAGAAGGGCCTCTCTTTTCTCCTCACTCTTTCCAGAGCATTTCTGTCCTTCAAGAGACAGCTCAAGTCCTAACCCCTCAAGGAATCCTTCCAAAATTCTCTAAGTGCTTCCTTGAGTCAGGGGCCATGTCTTCTCCTTCTGCCAGTTCATGGTACACAGCACAGAGTTGGGCCCTCAAGAAATTCTCAGGACATATTCATTTAGTGTCCCATAAGCACCTTGGCCAAATCTCAGAACATCCCTGGGGGTAGAATGTTGGGAGGTAGGAGAGAAGAGTACCACCAGCAAGAGATAATTCACTTCAACATAAACACACTAAATGCCTCCTACAGGAGACCCAGGACTGGGAGGAGGAGAGCAGAGAAAAAGGGAGAGAGGTTTAAGAAACAGTAGAAAGAAGAAGATAGATGAGAGAGAAGAGCTCATAGTAAAGGTGGGGAGATAAGACTCACAAATATAGTCAAATGCTAAACTAAGTACCACAGACTCTAAGAACTCTAACAACTCAGATAATTTTGAGTTTCTTGAGGGTTGTGGTGCTCTAGAAGTCTTCCAGGAGGACGAGAGACTTAAGTTGAGCTTCAAAAGATGTATAAGAGCTGGATGACAGAGGAGAAAATTAGGGTACTGAGGGAGGGTCAATAAATACAAAGGTAAAGGAGGGGAATGACCCTGGTGTACGTGTGTATGTGTTAGGGAAGCTGACCCCACTGGAGCAGAAAGACTGGAATGTAATGAGGATCATCTAAGAAATCTGGAGATGAGTGAAATCGGCAACTGTGGCAAGGTCTAGAAAACAAGGATCTTTTGTTTTGGCTTCAGGGTCCAATTCCTATGGTGCTTTGGGCTAGCCTCCAGGAATATTGGGAGGGACAAAGGACCTCTGGGCTGTGGCAATAAAGGTCAAGCTCAAAGACATTCAAAGGCCTTTGGGGAGAATATAATGTCTCCACAGTCAATATATTTTAACAGTCATTCAGGGGGTTCTTCCCTTTGAGAATCAATAAGATACACTAAAAGAACAAAGAATTTAGAATCAAAAGATCTGGGTCAAGACTTGACTTTGCCAATCACTAGTCATATGACTATGGAAAATTTAGGTTCAATCTTAGGGTTCACAGGTTTATCTAAAACTGAGGAGAATGAATTACATGATTGCTAAGGTTCCTCCTAGCTCTAACATTACATTCATGGCACAAAAAGATCATAGGATCTAGTGCTAAAAGGGATCTTAGAAGTCATCCAACCCAATTTCTTCATTTTAAAGATGAAGAAACTAAGGCCCACAGAGGTGAAATTACTTGCCCTCCCGCAAAGTCACACAAGTAGTTAGTTAGAAACAGAGCACAGCAAGTCTTGGCCAAGTCCTAGTGGCAAGGCAGAAAACCAAAGGATCTCCTGACTCCAAATCTAGTGTTCAAAAGAGTACTGCATTTTGTTACTTCCCTTTTAGCTCTGACCATTTGTATTCTATCCAGTTTCAAGATTCTGATTCTATGAATCATTACTTGTCCCACTATTTTAATGGAAGGAATTACCTATAGTTGCATCAGCCCCAAACCAGACTATGTGCTGGTAAGCCCACAGACTGGGGGAATCAGACAATTTCTTGATCTTTAAATTACAGTGGTAGAGATCCAAAGCCCTGTGAGTGGCCTATAATCAGAGCACAGCCCCTAATTAAACTGTGCTTCTGCAATTTACCTTATAGAGGAGAAGATATATCTGCACAGTTGTTCTTTTGGGTCAAATGATATTTCTGCTTTTTTCCCTTCTCTAACCACATCTCCCTTCCCACCAAAAGAACGGGCCTTTAAAAATGTTAGTAGAGAAATCTGAAGGTCAGGCAAATGTCCTTAATTCCCCTTTCAGCCCTACCCTTTACCTCAAATCTGACGATATAAGCCAGAGAAAGTCACCAATGTAAAGACTTTGTTTATTTCAATTGCTTCAGTCATCAACAAAGCTACATTAAGAACTTCAATTAGAAATGAAGGCAAAAAAGGCCTAGGGTAGAGAATAGGTTGGAAGGAGCTATAGGGAGGCAGAAGGGTTCAATATAATTAAAATATCTCTATTTCTACAGTACATTACGGTTTGCAATGTGTTTTTCTTACAACAACCCTGTAAGATAGGTAGTACAAGTATCAATACTCTCATTTTGCTGGTTGGCAAAGTGAAGCCCAGAGTCACATAGGATGTATCAGAACTAGAATTTGAGCCTAGGTCTCTAAACGACAAATTAAGCATTCTTTGCATTATGTGTTTTCTCTCTTCTTAATAATCAAAGCTGTCTCAGAATGGCTACCTTATGAAGAGAGACTACTAGTCAAGAAAATGTTGTTGGGACCAATGATCAATAATGTTACCCATCTCCTGACAGAGAGGTAATGGTCTAATATGTAAAATGAGACATACATTTTTGGATATGGTCAATATGGAGATCTGTTTTGCTGGATTATGGCTATTTGTTATTAGGATTTTGTTTTTCCTTTTTTCCAGTGGGGGAGGGGGAAGGGGAAAACAGGAGGGAGTAAATAAAATTTAAACAAAAATTTTTAAAGAAATTTTCAGGGAAATTGTCCAGATGATTCATCTATCAAGCAAGGAGTTGGAGACTTACTAGCTGTGTGACCTCATACAAATCACTTAATCTCTCTGGCCTTCAGCTTGCTCACCTGAAAAAAGGGGCTAGAGAGTTGCAGAGGCCTGTTGGAAAGAAAGCAGTCTCTAAGTTTTGCAGCACTACAGAAAGAGAAATCATTCTTATTGTTGGACGATATGATATCTACGGGGCCTCTTAGCTCTAAGATTATAGGATATTCTGAGACAGGATCCTGAGGCCTCCACTGAGGAATGTATAAATGTCTAATAAACAGTGCTTGCTCTTAAGAGCTTATAGTCCAGCTGGGGAGATAGGTCCAACCTTTATGGACTTGTTAACAAATACAAGTCATGACAGAGCCAAGAGCTAAACTGCAGTACAGGTTCTAATGGTTACTGGAGAAACTCAGAAAGGAAAAGTTGGCATAGGTTGAAATTGTCTGGGAATGCTTCCTAGAGGAAACAAGACCAGAAGAGGAGGAGTATAAAATTTGGTTAAGTGGGTTGAATAAAAAAAATAGAAAAACCTAACAAAAGCTCCCTGATCTCTCAGGATCAGAACCCTTACAGTGAGAGTGTGGGGAAAGTTAGGCTCACCCTCTATGACATCCCTGCATATCCATAAATAACTTCATTGTTCTTGAATCTATTTTTAGCCTGTACCATCCATCCACTGAGGTACTAGATTCCTGAAATTTATTTCCCGCAGAGAAATTTTACCAGCCCACATATCCCTTTGTCTTCTAAATTCTGCCCAAGCCCAAATAACAGTTCTTATATTGAACTCTATTTCATAGATAAGGCTGTGCTGAGGAAGAAAAGGTGAGGTTATAGACACTCTGCCTCTGGTCTCCTCCCAGCTTCCCTTGTTTGGTCACCAAGAGGCCTCAGGTAAGTGGGCATGAGCCCTGGCTCTGGAGTCAGGTGTGACCCACAAATACAGCATTCAGGAAGTGGATGAACTGACCAAGGATTTTGACTGTTCTGGAATAACAACTATCTCAGCA